CCCAGGTGAGGCAGATTAAGGGATTTGAGGTGCAGAAACATAAAGGGCCAAAGCCAGAGGGGTCCTAAGGGGCCATCAATTCCAGCTGCCCCTCTCCTGTCTCTTCTGTCCCACTGCTTTGCAGATGGAAGTAGGGATATTGAGACCTGGGTGGAGAGGAGGCATGCGCTTTTCACTGCCAGGCGGTGCTGGACTATCCAACAGGCAGAACAGGCACATGCTGGGTCACCACAAGGCAGGACATCAAAACTACTTCCTGAAACAATTTCACATTTGATATTTCAAAGCGTCACTCAACTAGATCATCGTAGGAAATATCTGAATTTGGCTGGAGTTTCTTACACTCATTTTACAGGTTAGGATTCTTGTTCTACTTTGAATTATGTATGACATCTGAGTAATGCAGCCTGGTGTTTAAACCTAAAGGAGCAATCAGGGCCCCTGACCCTGGTTCTACATCCTCCCTTCCCCACATCCTTACCCCTATCTCTCCACTCTGATCTTTGCTGAGATTCGGCACTTTACCCCCAATCCACTCACCTGCTAAGCTTTGTCCACTTTGGTGTCTTCTGTGATGTCCCCTTTGTGTCTTTCAACCTGGCTTGGCAGGGAAGAGCCAGGCAGGCGCTGAGCTGTGGCCCATTTAACCCTCTAACCCCTTCTTTCAGCCAAGTCTGTTGGGACCCTCTCCCTCTGTAGGGCTCCTTGGGGCATTGTGCCTCCCTCCCCTGTAACCCAGGATCAACTTCTTGCCCCTTTTAGAGCATGTGTTGGGAGGGGATTTGCTTTTGGGATTTGTCAATAATGAGAACAGCATGGTTAACAACCCTCATGGGTTCCAGAACTTTACAACCAACAGGACAGCTTTTATTGACATTATTTCATCTGGTCCTCAGAGCAGCTAGGGGAGACTGGCAGCCCAAGAGGAGGAAAGTAGAGTCTAAACAAGTGACATGACTTATCAGTGTTCAAGCTGATGTTTCGTATAAGAGCTACAAGTCAGACCCAGGGCTTCATTCCCAGGCCTGTGCTCTACAGTATTCCTTCATGGGTAATGGCTTAGGGTCTAAAGTGAAAAAGTCCTGGTTTGAAAAGCAGTTCTAATACATTCTAGCTATGTCACCTTAGGCAATTTACTTAACTTCTCTGAGTCTGAGTTTCTTCATCTGTAAGATGGAACAACAATATTATCCATCTCATAGAGTTTTTGAGAGGATTTAAAGAGATAAGGGATATGGGGTGCTTGGAGTGAAACATGATTATTTGAAAATTACTCCAGGAGTTTTGTTTGTATTACCTGGCAATAAAAAAAAGAAAAAAAAAAAGCCAGAGAAGAGTCTACCTGCATATATTCAATTTCCCAGAAGACTGTGGATGTCCATCTTCTGCAAGAGAAGATGCAGCTCTCATGGGTTTTCAGAGTTTCCAGATGCTGAACAGCTGGCTTTACCAGGAGCTACAGTCAATAGCTAGTATGTAAGCTTGGACTGCTAAGCACCCGGTAGTTGGTTTGTTCTGCTTATGAAGCTACTCTTTTGCTCCCTTTCTTCCCCAAAATGGGAAGCAGTAAGGTCAGGGCCATTATACCTATATCTTAGGATGAACTGTTAGCAGCCAACATTCAGCTGCTACAGAGTAGGCCACCAGTTGTGTCTACTACAGTTTACCCCTCGAACCTCTCAGATTCATTCACTTATCACAAGAGGCTCACTCCATTTGGACATAGGGTTTTCAAGATTCTGATTAGTCACATTTAGTGTGTGTGTGGGGGATCTCTAAAGGGTAAGAATAGTAGGATTAACTACTGCCCCTGATACTGTAGTCAGTCCCACAGCTGCAAGCGATAGTCATCATCTCTACTACCCAGTCTAGATTTTCTTCTCTTCCCTTTCACATTCAATCACTTCAGTTTTTCTAAATGGATTCCCTTCTAGCATGACTCAGACCCTTGTCCCTGATCATTCTGGGCCCCTGGTTACAATGCCTCATTGGCTATGGTTGCTTTAATTGCCTACTTATAGTTAAAGTCAGTCGTGGAAGAAACAGCAAATGCTCTGGTGCTTGAGTGCTAACATTTCAGCCCCCTTTATGGAAGAGTAGTCTTACTTTCCCTTGAAGATCTGGGTCAATTACCCGTGCAAATATGTAACTCCTTTTTTGACCGCGGGTCTACTTGCTCCGTGGGTTTAGATGATCAGGCAGCCTTTGTAGCTTTAAATTTACTGAGACTTACTGAGTCTCCTGTGGAATCAGGACTGCTTAATCTACAAAGGCTAAATCATCAGGACTGAAGCACAAGTTCCCCCAAATGGGTCACCGTGGGTAATGGTGAGTGAAGCCACTGGTATTTGGCAGGAAGCATCCCTTTTTAATGAGTGATCAAGCTGAAAATGAATCCTTCCCATTGGGCAGGAACATGGACCCCATTAAGATTCCCTGACTGGAGCAGCCAGTGGGTTTTTTTTTTGGGGGGGGGTTTGCAATCATTTCAAGCCTCCTGGCACCCTACCAATCCCACCCCCGAACTATATTGCTGATAACGTGAGTATTTGCTAACAAACAAGTTATAAGAACTTATAAGAAAAATTGTTGACATTGAATTAAATGCTAACTTCTTAGCTTCCACAGTGCCCTTGCTTATCTCTGTCTTATCACCTTATGTTATTTCTCTGGTTCTGACTTTCCCAATAGACCATGAATACCTTGAGGGCAACATCTCTGTCTGGTTTATTTCTGTCTCTAGCACCTAGTTAAGATCTTTATGAATGATCCAGTGATCAACTTTTATTCATCACGTTGATGATTGATAAAAATTATGAAAATTACAATTA